AGCTCAAAATCCTGTAGCACCAGTTTTTTTTTTGGGACCCAGTTCATGAGCCTCGTTTTCGAATACCGCGCTCCAAAATCGAGTGCCGTCACCGTCATTGTGGTCGCCCATCCCTCTATTTTAAATTAAAAATCAATCGTTTCATCCCCGCACCCCCCCTTTAATACTAGTCTTCGAAAACTCCTGAACATTAAATGGCAAGACAAGGTTCCTGATACTGACATATTACAACAAGCCAACATGCTAAGCATCTATGCCATACTTTCTAAACATCAACTCCGATGGGCTGGGCATTGTATACGCATGCCAAACGAACGCATACCAAAAGAGCTCCTATATGGTGAACTCTGGACAGGTAATCGATCCCAAGGAGGTCAGAAAAAATGCTTTAAGGATTCACTGAAAGCAACTCTGAAGCATTGCAGCATCTCACCGAATGCATTTGAAGTACAAGCATCAGATAGACTCATTTGGAGACACACTACTCACACTGGAATAGAACGGTTTGAAAAAAACAGAATCTTGCATGCAAAAGCTAAACGTGCAGCAAGAAAGGAACGTGAGAAGACTGTAGAAGAAACTTTAAATCCAGGATTGGACTAATCAGCCACCAACGTATACACAAGGATAACTTATAGGTCTAGGAACATGCCAATATACTTGGTGATCAAGGTCTTCTTCTAATACGAAGGACGAACGAAGAAGAAGAAGATATATAAAGACAAATGCGATTTTCATAACAATAATAATTTTTATACAATTAGTATTGTGATGAGCGATGAGGTTATATTAATACGAACAGAGTATGTCACTAATTAATATTCAATTTCTAATTGAAGAAACTTGCGATATTGACTGCTTGAACGGCGGAGTCTGTGTGTCGGATTACGGAATCGAGAACTGTCAGTGTATGCCTGGTTTTGTTGGACCAACGTGCAATATATGTAAGTTTTTATAACGATAATTAATGTGCATTACGTATTGAGCTAAATATAATAATAATAAACCTAATGTGCAGAACATGGTTATAAATGTATACAACATGATCAGTTTCTGAAAAGATTGTAAATATTATGCATAAGTGTAGGCTAATAGAATGAATATTAAAAAATTAATGTCAACATCAGTACTAAGTTTCAGTTTGCAACTGAGAACATGTATATATCTCTTCTACATCTATTATTTATTTTACTATAAAAGATCTCAGAAAAGATCAAGACTTAACTGATGCTAACTGGAGTACAGTACATAAACACAGATCTCCAGTTGCCGGTGATGGTATAACCCCATACTTCGGTTTGGGTGCTTCTAGGTGTTTATTGATTTTTATTTTTTTTTTGTCTTTTTTAATGTTTCTTTTCTACAATATTATCGGGTGCATAGAGACCTCGTTTATTTTCGCTATAAATATTATTATTATTATTATTATTATTAATATTATTATTATTATTATTATTATTATTCGAAAAATAGCTCATCTGTGTTGGTGTTCGAATGTAATAAAAGTTTAAACTTTTGATCACAAACAAATTTTACGGTAAGGAAATTTGTGTTGTGATCGAAAGTTTAAACTTTTATCATTATTCTTAATATTATTATTATTAATATTATTATTTATATTATTATTATTAAACGAAAAATAGTATAGAGACAAAACATTCGGAAAGAAAATTTATTATCTAACCATTTTAAGTTTACAAAAGTAATCTTGCATTATTTAATGACATGTTTCATTGACCTTAAAATCTTTGGCTATGTGCTGTAAAAAATGGAAAAATAATAATATTATTGTAGTCAGAAAAGAAGGTATTTAAAGTAAAATATAATTAAAAATAAAATGTAATTGAAATTGTAAATCCTTAAGGTATTTGAGTGTTGTCTTTAGTTCAAATGAGAGATTGCAATAACCAGTAATACAATTTTTAAGAAACTAATCAAGTATAAATGTAAAATTTAAAGTTTTAAAACAAAAATGTTTTTGGTAATTTATACCACTAACATTATGAAACAATGTGTTGTGGATACCGGTTTGACTTTATGTGAGTAAAATTTGAAATGTGTTTTTTTTTTTCTTTATGAAATTCTAGAAAATTTATGATAGGATGTTTTTCTAACAAAGTTATGAATTATTGTACATTGGTTTCCAGTAACTGTTTTAACCAATGCAATTTCAAATCAGTTAATTAATTTTATCTTGGAATTTTTTTTTTCAGCACAAAACCAATGTGATTTCGAGGATCCACACATCTGTTACTTTGTACAAGATGAATATGATGATTTTGATTGGATAAGAACATCTGGCTCAACACTCACATCTGGTACTGGCCCTGCTTATGACCACACCTACGGAACATTACAAGGTATTAAAAAGCTGACATGAATTTAAATTTCCTAAATGAAATTGTAAATTCTTAATGAAAATATTTCTAAAACTACAAACGAAATAAATAAAATAAACTACAAAGAGATAGAACAACAATATCTCTTAAACTAAAACATTTATTTTATCTTTTGCCTACAGGTTCCTATATGTACATCGACACATATCCGGGATACAACAACAAAAAAGCTCTTCTTTGGACATTGTCATATCCCGCAACAAATGGCACATGCGTCAAGTGGTTTTACCACATGTACGGAGCCACAGTGAACACATTGAATGTGTACATAGTCAATACAGAAGGTACCATTGGTGCACCTGCGTGGACAAATAGAAACAATCAAGGAAACATTTGGCGACTTGGAAAACTGTCAGTTGAAACAAAGACTTCCTTCCAGATAGTGTTTGAAGGAATTGGAGGAAGTAGTTATACAGGAGATATTGCTTTAGATGACTTCAGGATCATCGATGGGGCATGTTTGAGAAACGGTAAAATACACTTAATAAATATTATTTTTGCCACTAGCCCTTTCGTCTCTGCTTTCACTACCTACGCCCTATAATAACAGTCTGTGAAAAATAAGAGGGTAACTTAAATAAGTAATTTTAATATATATCCCCCACGGACTTTCTTACAAATGACTGAAACGCTCACACAGAGTGCAGCTGTAGAAAAGCCAGGAAAGCTTATAGTCTCAACTTCAAAAGCATGGGAAACATTGCTGAAAAAAAGGCTTTCCTCATGGTCAAAGATCGTAAATACCACCAGCAAATCAAATGAACTCATCCAACACTGCTGATAAACAACAAACTTCTAAAAAGTAACTAGGTTTAGTGCGAGAAACTCATACACAAAAACATCACTACGTCATATCATAAAAGAAGAGAAAAGAAGGCAGCACCCACAAAATTAACAACGCAACCAAATCAATTGTTACAAAGCTTGAAATTGGAACCAAATAGAAACCTGTATTCAGGGGTGGCGCCAACGGGGGAGCCTGGGGGCCAGGACCCCACAAAAACACATATAAACAAATGGAAAAAGACCACTTCTGTCACTGAATGATTTAAACCCATCCAGCACAGACCAAAAAGTCCATCTCTTTTAAATTTGTGGAACTCTATTTATCTATCACAAATATTTTTAATTGACGATATCTAGTACGCACCAAAGCACACTGGAATCTCTTAAGACAAAGCAGATATTATTATTTACTCAACATTGACTAATAAAAATTCAGACGACAAGTTTAATTACTGTGGGAAGTTACGGCGGGAATAAAATATGTTAATATGCCAGATCCTTTGTTCTCTAATTACTTACCCTAAAACTTGGCAAAACTAATATCTGTTTTTGAATAATTGCACTTAACTTTTCGGATTCTATACCCTACTTAGATTAGATACTTTACTAAACTGTATTTAATAGTCATCATATCATTCGTTATATAATTTAAACATATACATATAGAACTACTATTATATTCCTACATTAATTTTTCTATTCCACAATTGTTTAAATTATATAGGACCTTATATAAATCTCACTGTTTTTTATTACCTGTTTAATTACAGTACAGTATTGTGTACTGTAGTTTTTAGTCACTAGCAATTAAGTCTTAGTATTAAGCTGGCTCAAAAGCACCGCCAGTAATCTATCGCTTACATAATCAATGTATATCAATCAATGTATATATAAAGACAAATGCGATTTTCATAACAATAATAATTTTATACAGTTAGTATTGTGATGAGCGATAAGGTTATTTTAATACGAACAGAGTAAGTCACTAATTAATATGCAATTTCTAATTGAAGAAACTTGCGATATTGACTGTTTGAATGGCGGAGTCTGTGTCTCGGATTTCGGAATCGAGAACTGTCAGTGTATGGCTGGTTTTTTTGGACCAACTTGCAATATATGTAAGTTTTTACAGCGATAAATAATGTGCATTAAGTATTGAGCTAAATATAATAATAAACCTAGTGTGGAGAACGTGGTTTAAATGTATACAACATGATCAGTTTATGAAAAGATTGTAAATATTATGCATAAATGTAGGCTAATACCTGTAGAATGAATATTAAAAAAATAATGTCAACATCAGTACTAAGTTTCAGTTTGCAACTGAGATGATGTATGTATCTCTTCTTAATTATTTAATTTACTAATGATCTCAGGAAAGATAAAGACTTAACCGATGCTAACTGGAGTACATAAACACAGATCTCCAGATGCCGGTAGTGGTATAACCCCATACTACGGTTTGGGTGCTAGCTAGGTGTTTATTGATTTTTATTTTTTTTTTATTTGTTTGTGTTGTGATCAAAAGTTTAAACTTTTATTACATTATTATTATTAATATTATTATTATTATTAAACGAAAAATAGTATAGAGACAACATTCGAAAAGGGGATTTTAATATCTAACCATTTTAACTTTACCTAAGTAATCTTGCATTATTCAATGACATTGTTCATTGACCTTAAAAATTTTGGCTATGTGTTGTAAAAAACTGGAAAAATAATAATATTATTGTAGTCAGAAAAGAAGGTATTTAAAGTAAAATGGAATTATAAGTAAAATGTAATTGAAATTTTAAATCCTTAAGGTATTTAAGTGTCGTCTAGTTCAAACAAGAAATTCCATGAACCAATAATACAATTCTTAAGGAGCTAAAGTAATGTAAAATTTAAAGTTTCAAAACAAAAAAGTTGTTGGTATATATACCATTAACATTATGGAACAATGTGTTGTGGATACCGGTTTGACTTTATGCGAGTGAAATTTGCAATGTTTTTTATTATTATTGAAATTCTTGCAAATTTATAAGATGTTTTCTTAACAAAGTTACGAATTATTGTACTTTGGTTTCCAGTAACTGTTTTAACAAGTGCAATTACAATCAGTTAATTAATTTTGTCTTGGGATTTTTGTTTCAGCACAAAAGCAATGTGATTTCGAGGATCCACACATCTGTTACCTTGAACAAGATGAAAATGATGATTTTGATTGGATAAGAAGATCTGGATCAACATCCTTACATGGTACTGGCCCTGCGTATGACCACACATATGGAACATTACATGGTAACACAAAGTTCACATTTTTAATAAATTCTAAATGAAATTTAAAATTAATAATATAAATATTGCTGAAACTTCAGACAAATAAAATAAAAAGCACAATTACAAATAGATGTAAATTAATGACTCTGAAAGTGAAAAATTTATTTGATCATTTGCTTACAGGTTTTTACATATACATAGAATCTTCAGATCAAAACCTCAATGACATTGCTCGCATTTGGACAACTTTATATCCTGCAACGAAAGGCACATGCGTCCAGTGGTACTACCATATGAACGGGGAAACAGTGAACACACTGAATGTGTATATAGTCAATACAACAAGTACTGTTGGCACAATTGCGTGGACAAATAGAAACAACCAAGAGAACTCTTGGCGACTTGGACAAATCTCAGTTGAAACAAAGAGTGCCTTCCAAATAATGTTTGAAGGCATTGTAGGAAGTAGTTATACAGGAGATATTGCTTTAGATGACATCACGATCACCGATGGAATATGTTTCACAAATGGTAAAATCACCTTCACCTTACAACAACACTACAATAAAAATGTCATCTCTTTTATCCACCAGACATTTTGCATCTACCTTTTACCACCACTGCCTTTTGACATTTTACCATCACATTTTTATTTTTTATTTCAACCATCTTTAAAGAGGGTAACCCTTCCAGTTTATCCCAGTAGGTTAACTGATATTCAGGGACCCTCTTTAATAAAATTAAAGAACAGTACAAACAACATCATTACAACATAATAATAATAATAATTACACACAATACCATCTAAGGTCTGAATATGTCACAACCCGTTTTATTTCTTAGACCGTTTCGTCTATAGATCCATTACACTTGGTTTTTTGTTGAATTGAAGCATGGTATACAAATTTCGAAGGTCATGGCATTTCCAGTTATTTTTGTATCCTTTATAAGTTAGACCAATTATAAATAATGTATGCCCTGCAAAATTTGGGGCTGAAAGTATGGATATACAAGTATGCTTTAGTAACAAGGGTCAATGTCGAAAAAGTTATTTGTGGTAAATTTTTGATAAATTATTCTGTTCGTACAAATATAAATAGTTTTTCAGACATAAACCAATTTTCTTAACCAATAGTTATAGAGGTAAGATTATGCCAGACAAATAGGGTCAAGGGTAAAAATGCATTTTTCCAGTCAATTTATTTATATATAGATTTTTAACAATTTAAACAATCGTTATAGAGGGTGACCTTCTAGCTAGGCTTTTAATAAACACTGTCGCATTACAGAGAATATCAGGGATCTTCTGAGTATTTCAATCATAATGATGATAAATTCATCAACAAAGACTGGTTATATGGGCCAACAAAACTTCTGCCTTATTTTAGGGAGTGGTCTACATGGGCACTCTTTTCTATAATTTCCTGAGCCTCATTCAAGTCGCCAATTATGATCTTTCAAATTAATAACTTAAGATTTGTTTCGCCCTTAAATTATTATTTGGTTGAGTCACACTATCTAGGAGGTCCAATCAGGTTTATTTTACATATTATGACAGACTTCGGAACAGTTTTGCAACATTCCTTTGCAGAACATTTTTATAGATTTCCACGTTTGACGTACAAAACGGGTCAATATGAAATAATTTCCTATGGAGCATATTTTTTCTGGCGCGGCGCGATAATCAGACTCTTGCACTTTATAACTTTTAGCTTAGAACTGCATGTATAAAGTCGGCATGCCTTGGACCAATCATTTTTATTTAATTGCTACAACACTTAAGTTTTAACCGTGTACAGTATTCATACAGGGGAAAGTCTCTAGTTGGTTCCGAGTTAAATCTGGTGTCCATCAAGACTCATTAGCCATCACACTACACTGAGTTTGGTCATAAATATTTATAATCAACTTAAAATTCTCGGCAAGTGCGGTGCCAGTGTAGTCAGTGGCGACACCATTGTGGGGGCAGGGGGCTTAAGCCCCCACTTCGGCCATAGCTCATCGGGCAGTTGGACAAAAAAAAAATAGGACTAGTTTTCCCATCTGAGCCATGGAAAATTGCAGGGTATGCTATGTATTGGCATATTTAGAATGTGCGCACACCCCTCCCCCATCCACCGCCCACACATAATGCTCAAGTAGTTAAAATTCACCTCAAATCACATTATTTTGCAAGTTAGCTCTCACCTAATTACCGATCCCCACTTTACCTTCCCACCACATCAGCTCCCTTCCATCTCAAGACCCTTATGCCGCGTATGCTAGGGCCTGCTACTAGGAAAAGTTTGTAAGCTTACTACAGTACTATACAGGATCAGATTTAATAAATTCACATATATTGGTCATAGCTTCTAGTCTAAACGATAATGAAGATATTGCTTGTCAATATAGATCGTGTATTAGAAGAATGTCATGAAGACTCCTTTTCGTAATTGTACAATTATTGTTTGTTTAATGCCTATTGTATTAATTTTTACTGTGTCAATTTATGGTGCAAGTACACATGTAAATCGTGTAATTCACTTAAATTGTGCTACAACAATGCGTTGCGGTTATTGGTGAACAAACCTAGATTATGCAGTGCTGTGAAATATTTCCAACTCTCTTCCCAGTTCTGGCAAATTCATTAGAAAATCTGTCTATAGTTTTATTGAGAGGGTAAGAAATTGTGAGAATACATTAGTGAAGTGATCACATTCTCAAGGACAGCAGTTTGTATGTAAAATGGTTGCCCCTACTGAATACATAAACGCAAGTTTGAATTGTGTGCAGTATATCAATATTTAATTATTTACTTTAATATTTTTAGTATTGTACTCTACAAACAAGTTTTCCAAATGGGAGAATGAAATGAAATGATTGAGGATTCTATGTGTTAGTACAGTCCTCAGTTTAAATTGGGTTTCTTTTGAAAAATCAATAAAACTATCAAACGTTTGTTTTGGTTTGGCCGTGTGACAATACATCGTGTCAAAATGGAGGATTTTGTGTTGATGACATCGACAGCTATACTGTACATGCGTATGTGGTGCAGGCTATTTGGGAACATATTGTGAAATCGTTAGGGTGTTAGCTTTTTTACTACTGTGTATAATTATTATTCAGACAATATAGGACAATTCTTCTTAGATATCAAGATTAGTCGACCTGAAATTTTTCACTTTGTCTAGTCTCTCTCTGACAATCACCTCATCAGAAGTAACCGTCTGCCTAATCATTTAAAACTGTTAGAGCTTAAAATTACTCTTTTCAGGTAGTTTAGTAGTTTATGCCCATTAAAAAAGCCACCATTTTTAGAGTCTTCAAATTGTTGGCCTGATCACAATTATACATCCTTTTTCTTGCAGATAATGAGGCGCCAATAATCACATTTTGTCCATTAGATGCATATCTTTTGGCAGACAAGACAAACAATACTGCTGTTGCAGTCTGGAATTCTCCTGCTGCAACAGATAACTCAGATGTGCCTCCATATATTACAACAAATATTCAGCAAGGGGATTTGTTAGCAATTGGAAACCACCTTGTATCAGTCACTGTTAAGGACAGTTCAGGAAACATCAACAGCTCATGTTCTTTCAACTTAACAGTCATAGGTGATGCATCACTTTTAAATTTTCAAAATGCATTACATAATTCTTCATGTTTGTGGTCACAAATTATCGCTTGAGGATCTACATCTTCAATAAATTCTAACTTAATGATATGTTACTTATGCTTGTTGTTGTTTAAACGTATGGTTTGTAGAACCCGGCCATGTAAGAAATGAGACATGAAATATAAGGTGTTTTTAATTGTTTGTAAAAATTTTTATTTAAAATGCTCTGTTGCATTCTTCACCATCAGTGTTGTTTAAGCCTGCACTTTTCATTTTAAGAGAATACATTTTGTGTCCCTTCCCACCCCTAACCCATGACCAAATGCGTTATGTTCTGGGTTTGCTTCTAAAATGCATGGAATCTTACAAAACCCCGGGTAAATTCGGCTGGACATCGGCACTCGTTTGTATTAGGTTGTAATATGGATAATTAGAAATACAATACGAGAGTATAATACCATTAATTTAAAAAACAATGTCGTTCAAATTACAAAGTCACATTATAGTGGTTTTTTTCTGAAAGCTGTATACTGTTCAGTCACTTTGTCAACTTTCTTGTTTAAAATTTCCACAATAGTAGTCTAATTATTATAACATCAGTAAAGTCACATGTAAAATAACTATGTATTACAACAACATTTTAAAACAAGTGCTTGTTTACATTATTTTTACAAATAAATTTGTCATTTACTTTTAAATGTAATACAGGTAACGTTAATGCATCATCATCAGTACCTGACTACCTGATAGCTGTGTATATTCTCTGTGTCTTCATTTTCATGATGTCACCGTTATTTATCTTCCTCTGCAGGTAGACCCTACTCTATAATAGTAATAATAATAATGATAATGATAATGATAATGATAATGATAATAATAATAAAATAATAATAATAATAAAATTTAATGGTTACAATATGCTTTATTAAATGATTCTAATCTGCCAGTATCCTACTCACAAGAACAATATACATTTATTGGTATTTGTTTGGAGTATGTTATAGATGTATAAACCTTACCTTTTTTAATAAATTTATATCTTGAGAGTCGCCCATGATCACTGGCACCTTTCGGGGTACACTGTGAGGGGTGTCTGATGGTGCACGGCATTATTACTGTTGCATGATGCTCATTGGGGCATTTTCTCTTCCGTTAGGTGCCGGGGGTTCTGGGCAACCTGGTATTCTGTGTTTGTATGTTTTGTATATTTGGTGTTTTGTATCTTTGATGCCTATGTTAACAATATGTAATATGTAAATTGTTGTGAAAATTCTGAATAAATGTAATATATTTATTCATGTAATAACGCACATAATACCATAATTCATGACAAAAACTTATGCATGAAGGATGCACTAGAAGTAAAAAAAAGAAAGACATAGGAAACTGTGACTATTGAAGTATATTGAGAAGGAGATCACTCGGCAACAATTCCCTTTGACGCGACAAACCGATGTGTTCCCCGCCTTTGGATCGTGCGCAGGCATATTACCTTATTAACATTTTTTCTTTTGCAACAGCTTGGCAATGACATGGCTTAATACGCTTCAACACAGCAGTTGTGCGATAAACCATTTGATTTTAACTCATTAAACATCTCTAAAATTAACAATGTTCCTCTGAATTGATTTTTTCGGACTTTTATTGTGTTATTATGTGCATATTTGACTAACAGATTTCACAAAACATTACTTTTAAAGGTCATGTAAATGTTCCATTCAATTTGAAACTTTTATGGTTGAAAATATTAATATGTTTCATATTTTATGAGAGATAAATGTATCAGCTTCAAAATGGAAACGATTGCGCAGCCATAGTGATTGACTGTATGTAGTGCGCATCGAGAAAAGAAGGTGCTCTCCATTTCGCCATGTTCAATTTTTTGGTATAAACTATGCCTGCTGAAATTTGATGGCGGGGAAGACATCAGACTTCCAAACCATCGCGCAAACGTTCTTCACGCGCTGCGGCAGCTTTGATCTTGGTACATTCGCATAGTGCTGCGTGCATGTAGATTTTTCAAGTGAATCTCTTTCTCAATAATACCTCCATGCTGTGACTAACTTTAGATAATATTTATTCACGAGATTTTGCTGGTAATGCATTTTAACTTCATTGGGCGACACACCTTTATTGTAAAAAAAAATTTCTCTGAGTTTCACGCTTTATGGCGTCAACCAGGCCATTTAAACCAATATTTCTTGTATAGAATTTGAACAACCAATGATTCTATGTATAAAAGACATCAATATTCTCTCCCTCATTATATGAAGACAAGTTAGGATTCCCGTAGAAATAATTTGTTAATCACGATTCAGTATATGTAAAGTGAAATATAATACCGTATTGTGGAATGCTATATAAATAGTTATAAGTTTTAAACTTATAAATTTAATTTGCAGGAGTAAAAATATCTCTGTAGCTCTGTTGACATGAAATGACTTGTTTTTTTTATTTTTTTTTTATTTAGATCACATTTTGTTAATATCAGAACGGAAGCACCAACGGAAATGAATGATTATGTAACACCAATAAATGTACCAACCTATTATTCAGCTATTATCAAACAGTCTAACGGTATGGACTTGCACAGGAGTGATAATACCCCTCCTGATTATGATGAAATTCCAAATGGTGATACAGGATATGAAGTACCTCTGGAAACCAGCGGTATAGGCAGTGATGTTGCACCACAATCTATGGAAACACAGTTGGGAAATAATCTAGCGTATGAACATGATTATGTGCCAATTAAATAGATCCCAATATCTTTGCAGTGGCACATCAACTATTTTGTATGTGCTTGATTGCTATTTAATCATAGTGATTGTCTGCTATAGCTGGGTTAATAATTAAAAAGCATTACATAGTGATTAAAAACATGGTAGTAGCTGGTCACTAGCTATATAGCTTATAATAGCAGTCATATAGGAACCAATTGTGATTACAAGCATGTTAGAAGCTGTCACAATGCTTGAGTCACTGCTATAGCTTATAACAGCAGTCATATAGCACCCATTTCAAAAAATATAGCAATCTCTGAGCATCAAATAGCGATTACAAGCAAGTTAGTAGCTGTCACAATGCTTTAACTGTTATTTTGGCTATACAATGCTGCGCTTCTTGATATTTTTGCTATGCAGTATTTTGGGTCACTTTGGATTGCTATGTGAGGCTAGCAATAATAATATTAAAAATAATACGAATAAACAATTTGAAATAATAATAATAAATAAATAATTTTAACATTACTGTTGGATTACTGTATTTGTATTTCTATTATATATTGAGATTATGTATGAATTGCAAATATTTATATACATTTTATATTTATGTCATTTATCATGTTAATATAAAGCAAATTCTGTAAGTTAATATATTAAGTATCATATTCAATGTCCTTGGTATTACATAACCTTGTCCATTCTCAGGGCTTTAAGAAACAAATTTGTTTGCCAGAAAGAATACTTGTATTCTACATGACTTATTAGTAACCAACTGTTGCCGCAAAGGCCTATTCAATGGTAAACTGTTGATGTACTCCAACGCCAGCCCCAAAAAACTTTAACAGATAATAGTAAACCCAGTGATTGCTATATAACTGCTATTAGAAGCTTAGGTAGTGGCCTGAATAGGCCAATCCTAACATTAAAAATAACCTCTCAAATAATAATGAAATTGAAATGTATGTAGCAGTGTCATGAAAATATCCAATATGAGTAACTATAGCAGTGAACATCAAATGCATACCAGTTATATAGGAGAATTAATAAAATATAAAAAATATGCAAATGTACAGAGCTATTATTTGAAATGCTTGAAATATAGGGGAAAAAAAGCCGCGCTACAATACTACAGTATATCAAAGAAAGTTTAGCCATGTAGGTATGTTTAGATGACTTAAGGATAGTGAGTCTGACTGAGTAATTGTCTTCAGATCTAAGGTTTATATTTTACTTTTCAATACCAATCACTAAATAGTGTTATTAATGTTATAATAAGTAGTTTTGTTTGTTTGATATCCACCAGTCTTATTCCTATTTGTAGTCTTATTAGTCTTTGAATTCTTCCAATATACAGAATTATATTTATTATTTGTATTTCTTTGTAATTTTTATATTTATACACAAATTATTTTATTTACCAATCATTAGTCACATTATTAATTTATTATTACTGTATTGTTGTTATTGTTATGTTTAAGTCCCTACCTGTGCGAACGCCTATTAATTTGCGGACATAGCCCCTACCGGCGCAAACGCCTATGTATTTGCAGACACAGTCCCTACTGGCGCAAACGACTATTCAGTTGTGGACCCAGTCTCTACCAGCGCGAACGCCTAATCACTTACGGACACATCCCCACCGGCACAAACTCCTATTCAGTTGCGGACACAGCCCCTACCTGCGCGAACACCTATTCATTTGCAGATTGTTTATACTAATTGCATTTGCAGACTGTATTTGGGGCCATTTTTCCCGGGGCCATTTTTACCGGGGCCATTCTTACCGTACACCGTATTTTCCACAAACTGCCCAATGACCACTAAACACAAGGTTGCCCAGTTGGTTTATTACCCTGATGAGGGAGAATGCCTCATCACTACCATATTCATACCACCTAAAGTAAATAGCTCATCTCATTTTAAAGGGTTAATAGAGGGTGCATTAATACCCCAATCAAGTTTGTTTGGTAACAGGCAGTTTTTCTTAAGTGTGTTTCATTACTGCTGCAAACTCCACTGGAGCAGGACAGTAATCACATCTCTAAAGTTTTATCATTCTGAAAGGGTGTAGTTTTGAGTTTATATTGTTTAGATTTGATAAGTTCATTATATAAAATATGTTAATGTTTACCATATATTACTTGGTAATATTTATAAGAGGTTTAAGTTAAAGACTTTGCTGACTATTTGGCAGATCAGATTACAAAATTATTTTTTTGTGTATAATGCTGAACTTTAGTTAACTGTTTCACAATAAGTTTGTGAATTATTTGCATATTAATTATCAGTTGTTTAACTTTTGAGATGCATGTAGTGTATAATGCACTTTTTATGTAGTTTATAGATACTGTACAAAGATAATAGGCATGGTTGGGCCACCTACTGTAGGCTGACCATGAAGTAGATGATGACTCGTACTAATTACACGATAGTTATATTTTAACTCATGGTGGCACTATACTATAAACAAACAAATCAAGATGTTATAGGCCTATATTGATAGTAAATTAAATGCATTTTAATAACAATTGAATTGGTTAGACGAGTGAATACGATTGTTTTAATTAATAAAGCTGCTATTGCTTATAGTCTTATTGTTCTTGATCAGAGTTAACTAATTAAATTTGTTAAGTGAATCATTGTATGATGTGCCAATACAGAGATTGCATTTTATGATAACTATTAATTATGAATTCATTACATTTAATATTTTACTTTGTGCATTGTTAGCAAATATTTTGTATTGCCATTGCAGTTATTCAGATTGTTATATCGTACAGTACCATACCGTTCACTGATTGGTCATTGGTTACTTAGTCAGCTTGCCCGGTGTTTGCTAGGGGTGTCGATTAGATAAATTATAATATGGTATAACTGACGAACATTTATTATTTTCATTTAGTGATTGTTATTACTCTTTGTATTGCCTATGTAAGTGTTACCGGATTACTTTAGTATGCTATGATTACTCTAACTGTGTAATAATGTATGCATTATGATAGTAAATGATTTCTTATTAATTTTAATGTTACTTTTATATACTTAGGCCTATTTAGTTTGTTTAATATATCGAGTCTTAATGGTTTATGTATTCTTCTGAAATATCTTAATTGATTGATGATGAATAATTTGTTATTCCACATGTGTAGCTACTTGCTCCTGTGTTATTGATACAAACTGATTTATTCATTGTTTTAGGGTTTGCTTGTTTTGGTTTGGTTTGTTTTGATTTTTGTGTTCTATACTCGACGGAAATAAAGAAAATGAAGAATGCTACTCAGTCGTGAAGTGTGTTCGTTTTATAAGCGTCACAATTAGGCCTATATTGTATTGTAAGCAGGGACGTTTACAGGGGGAGCCGCGGCTTCCTCCTCCTCCTCCCCACACCCCCGCCCTTTGTACACAGTGTTAAAATTTTCAAATAAAGGTACAAATAAAAAAATATATATATATACAGTATATATTTCTAATCTATGTAAATATGCATCAGCACACGTTATACATATGCCTACATATACTAACACATAGGCCTAATCGTGATTTAAAAAAAAATCTTAAATCCATAAGTCCCAGGCCAGGTCTTTCAAATACAAAAATGTGATATTGTATGGTTCAGTTTGGTTTTTATCGTTTTGCATGCTCTCTAAAGTTTTGTTTTAATACTACAGTACTACAAGTAGTAATAATAATAATAATTATGATGATGACGATGGTGATAATAGATAATAATATAAAAAGTGAAGAAAATTGTGATAAAGGCGAAAAAGTGAGTTGTGATTTGTTGATCACAATTATTATAATATAGTTAAAGCTTAGTAAGCTATAGTTAGGCCTAAGTTGTCTTGGATATTAATTAGATTCCTGATAAAAGATTATGAGAAATTTGTTGGGGCTTCATTTTGACTATATAATGGTGATGTGATCACTTATTTTTATACCTCCTTGATGTGATAATGATGAATTTTACTATATAAAAGGGTCATTTCCGGCCATCTAGAGATACTATTTCCTCAATTTTTCCCACCTTATCCTCAACCATGGTGGAGCTGAGGTGGTTGTGAAATCATGGCTTTGAAGTATATAAAGTACATACTCAAAAACAATGTTTATAAGCTTTATTTTCTGGTACATCACATATTAATAAGATCTCTATGGTTGCCGAAAATCGCTGGTAAAAGATCATGAGAGATTTGTTGGCGCTTCATTTTGAGTATATATAAAATCAATGCCGTAGCCAGCTATTGGGACAGTTGGACAGTCCCACACAATTTTTCTATTGGGTCCACAAAGAATGGGTCTACATTTTCGAAAATAGCTCTAAATTATGACTTTTTAGCACATAATGAGTCCTTTTTTTTAAAAAAAATGGGTAAGAGATTTCTTATATTTTCGCGTAAAATTTGTAAACTTTTAAGAAAATTGGTACAGATTTTTCATATTTTTGCGTAAAATTTGGAGGTACTATTTCCTCAGACCCAACCATGGTGGGTCTGAGGTGGGTGTCGGCTCAAGAAATGTCCCCCACCCCACCTCCACCTTTCAAAACAAATTTCGCCTTCCTGGGTATGTCATTAAACTCCATTGAGTCGACACCTGACTCAGAGTATGTCTTAGTGGCTGCTGGTCAGGTGAGAGCGCATAAATTTGTTTTTAGGATGTGATCTGGTTTTACATGCCCGTTTTTCGTGATTATGACTATTTTGAATAAAGATTGTTTTGAGCAGTGGTGGATTGAAGTCCCCCTGCATCTCAATTTTTAATTGAAAAAAAATATAGGCCCCTAATTTCCGGCCATCTAGAAGTGCCGCCCTAATCATAAATTATCTTACCTCAGCCCCAACCATGGTGGGTTGAAGTGGGTGGTTCATCTATAAAAGTCACTCCCTGGGTCACCTCTCTGTTGAATTCCTGGATCCACCACTGTTGAGTTTTATATAATTATTGTTAGGCTTACTAATATTATTTATAATGCGTTTATTGCAGTTTTCACTTTATCATCTCAGAACAGCCCCCACGGGGTCTTAC